ATCTATATATTTAATTATTCTAACATTATAAGGACAACTCTTCATCAATGAAAAAATCTTAAAAGCCAACAAACGGGCACTCCATTTTAACTTCATCTAGGTATTGCATTATCTTGATAACTCTACTTATAAAATTATCAAATGAGCAGAATATTCATGTAAGTCTTTGAGTTTTAAGGGATTTCTATTATCAAAAATAAATACTAAGTATATTATAGGGAGGTAGTGAATATCATCAATCTGAATCGATGGACCTCTATCGATCTTTCGAATAGATAGTTACAACAAAAGGCTATGAATTCGAAGAGCACTTTGTTGTAACTCCAGATGAAGTTATTCTAAGGCTTTTCAGAATTCCAGGTACTAAAAATGAAATAAAAGAATGCAAAGATAGTGGGGAAAATATTCTAAATAAATCGGTTGTCTATCTTCAACATGGTTTTTAGGATTCAGCTGATGGCTGGATAGCTCATAGAGAAAGGTTTGCTTCTGTTTATGTATTATCTAGAGCGGGCTATGATGTGTGGCTAGGCAATGCAAGAGGCAATAAATATTCAAGAAACACTACAAGGCCTACTTTAGATAATAAGTTTTGGGACTATTCAAACGAAGAAATAGCTGACATTGATATACCTACGTCCATTGATTATATCCTCAACATTACTCAATAAAAAAAACTAGCCATAGTCGCACATTCTCAGGGTACTGCCTAGCTATTTTATGGTCTATGGCACAACGAAGAATATTTTGCTCAGAGAGTTTCAATAATAATGATGCTTGGTACTGCTTCAAGGTTGAATACAATGCTCTCTCCAATTCTACAATTATAAGCTAATCCCATAATCTAGAAAATTTAGCAAACAATATTCAAAATGGCTGACATACATGAAATAATGCACAAATCTTCAGAAACAGCTTTGATGAAGTTTGGATGCGTCAATCTAACTTTCTTTTGTAATGAAATGGTGAAATACATGGATAATGAGAACCCTGAATTGAATGATCAAGAGAGATAAAAGGTTATGTATTCTCATTATCCCGCTGGAAGCAGTATCAAATAGTACAGTTATATATTCCAATTGATTAGGTCCGATGAATTTAGGACATATGACTACGGAGCTCAATAGAATTTTTTAAAATATGGTTAAGAGAAACCACCAATTATTGATATTTCCAAAATTTCTAAGGTGCCTATTGCAATGTTTTCAGGTACTAAAGATATATTAAGTGATATTAAGTCTACGAGATGGGCTGCCTCATAACTGACCAAAAGTCTAGTATTTAACAGAGAATATGAATTAGGCCATTCATCGTTTCTTGTAGGCAAAGATTATTCATTTTTCACAAAGGATCTAATGAATTTAATGCAAAAGTATCATCCAGTAAGAGACTAATGTCCTGAAATTGATACTGTTGCTGATTCATTCTTAAATTGAAATAATAGAAATTGAGGCTTTTGAATAATTCATTTTTTAGGACTATGCTATTTTTATAATTAATTCAACCTCCTATTTTTGATTGCAATAAAAAATAATTGAATTCTTAGCACGAATTGAGCATTATGGGGTTTTGGGGTTTTGGGG